TTTCTCTCTCATCGATGTTTCTAACTCTCTATCCCTCTCCCTTCCTCTCTGTAAAAAATCAATAAAATATATTTAAACAAAACAAACAAAACAAAACCGGACATCTGTTTCTCATTTGCTTTTTTTTTCTTTTCTTACTTTTTTCCCCCCTTTTCTTAGCTAACTCCGCAGTTTAATCAAAACCACAGTTTCCAGGTCTGGAAATGCCCGAGAAGGAAGCACCCTCAAATGGTTGGGGGTGGCAGTGCTGGCCTTATGGGGGGCGGGGGGCGTTACATAGACAAGAGCAGAGCAAAGCTTTAGCAGGTGTGGCTCAGTGGATAGAGCGTCAGCCTGCAGACTGAAGGGTCCCGGGTTCGATTCCCGGTCAAGGCCATAGGCCTGGGTTGTGGGCTAGACCCCCAGTAGGGGGCGTTCAGGAGGCAGCCGGTCCTCAGCCAGAAGCCGGGCTCACGGGGAGCGGGCCTAAGCCATCAGTCGGACATCCCCGAGGGCTCCTGGACTGCGAGAGGGCGCAGGCCGGGCTCAGAGACCCCCGCTGGGGCATGAATTTCATGCACTGAGCCTCTAGTTTGAAATAATAATATCGCCCGAGGCGGACACTCTGCATGACAGTAGCTGCTGCCCAAAGAACAGACCACAGAAACTAGAACAAGGTCCCTGGCAGCTTCTAGGAACCACTGAATTATTTACTGTGGATAAGGACCAAGTGAGCCCCAGGCAAACGCTGAGAAAGTGGGAGGGGTGGGGAGGAGAAAGGAAAGAAAAACACTGTAACTGTCTAATGCCCTGGCCGCAGTTAGACCTGTTACCAACAGAATGTACACACCACGGAATTTAATTCTTGTTGACGGCTTCCGCCTGGGCACACCACCCACTCACAGATACGGGCAGGGTCTTATAATTTATTAGAGGCCCGGTGCACAAAATTCATGCACGGGTAGGGTCCCTAGTCCTGGCCAGCGAGCAGGGGCGATAAGGTTCCCCACCTCCCTGCCTCTCCCCATCGTTCTTCCCTCGCCTCCCGCGTCCGCCACCACCCACCCCGGGTTTCCTGTCCCCGCTCAGGGCCCGGCCCCAATCAGAGTCAGTCATCCAGGGGGAGAGACCAGCAGGTTGGCAATCGGGGCCTGCAGGCTCGGGGGAGGGACCGCAGGAGGTTGGC